GAATATTTTCACTCTTCAAGTTACTCACTTCAAGTAAAGTATCTTGCAATCTTTTATTCATCTCTTCTTTTTCAAGAATTAGAATATTATTGCGCTCCTTAGTTGAGGATGAGTGAGCATAATCTCTTGACAATCTCGCATTAGACTGCCAATAGATTCACGAGAAAAAGAGGAACTAACGGAATTGAAAGAATTAGATGTTACCTCTTCTTCCTCTGCTCCAAGAGCCATTAAGCACTCTTCGCTTGAACTCAACTCAATTAACTTGCATACTAGCGCCGTATCATCATCCGAACATGAACTTTCATCGCTTGATGACGAATCCTCCGAATCATCATTTTCGTTTGGTTCGTTGCTAACGAGAGCTTTTCTTTTGTCGCGCTTGAACCTTTTGCTTTCGGATTTGTTCGGCGTAGATTCAACATTTTTGCCTCGATACTTGCTAACGATCGGATATGGATAATTTATTTTGAAATGTCCAGGTTTGCAGCAATTGTAGCATAAATTGTTGTTTTCTTCGACTTTTTCTTCTTGTGTCGTGCGAGAGACAAATTTTCCACGAGCAGAATTTTTGTTGTCTCCTTTTCGCATGAACCTTTTGAATTTTCTAACAAAGAGAGAAAATTGTTCGTCAGTCATAAAATCAACATTATTTTCTACTGACCTGGAGGTTGATGGTTGTTCGGCCATTAGAGCTGGGTTTCGAATTTCATGAACATCATCATCTTTGGCCTTCATCTCGAACTCATATGCTTTAAGATCACTAAATAATTTGTCGGTTGACAATATTCTTAGATCTCGGTGATCTCGCATAGCCGTAACCTTCATATCCCATGTAGATGGTAAACCTCGTAGATCTTTGAGATTAATTTCCTTTTGGCTAATATTTTTGCCAAGGTCATTAATTTCTCCAAGGATTTTGATCATTCGAGCTTCCATATCAACAATGGATTGGTTTGAGAGCATCTTGAAGTCCTCGAACTTCTTCATAGCAATAGTGAGCATGTTATCTTTTTCTTGTTCATCTCCTTCTCCGATCTTGATGAGAGTATCCCAAATTTCTTTTGCACTTGTACATTTTCGCAGTTTTGGGAATATTGTATCATCAATGGCTTTGAACAGAATATCTTTGGCAATGTTGTCAAGATTGTTCATCTTTCTATCATCCGACGTCCATTCCGGTTTTGGCTTTGGTACGAATTGTTGAGCATCCGGTGATAGAAGAAAAGCCGTATTTACTTACAATATTTCGATCGGGTCGTGAGAGATAACTTCCCACATTTCATCATGTAAGGCTGATAGATGAACCTGCATACGAACTTTGCAATCATCAAATTTATCAAGCGAGAATAATAGATTTTGAGCTAAATCTTTATTCATCTTCTCGGTGGATACGAGAGATAAATAATCCAATTACACACACTGGGTAAAATCGATCTGCCTAGCAGTCAGAAACAAGGTTGACCCAAATAGACAGCCTGCTCTGATACCAATTGTTGGTCCCAAAAGAGGTAAGGTGAAAGTCTAGAGGGGGGGGGGGGTGAGTAGACTTTCAAACTTTTTAGCACAGTACAACAATTGCTAAGGCAACAAAGAAACCAAGGGGTCGTTTACTTCATTTTTCTGTTTTTCCATTTCCAGTTTTCCATTCTTCCATTTCTCCAGTTTTCCTTCTCCATTCTTCCAGTTTTTCATTTCTCCATTCCTCCAATTTTTTATTTTTCTAATTTTCTATTCTATTAAAAACAATCATCCCATACAGTATTTGTATATTTCTACAACAAAGATAATAATAATAATAATAATAATAATAATAATAGTAATAATGATAATAATAATTATTTAATAATTTAATAATAATAATAATAATAGTAATAATGATAATAATAATTTAATAATAATAAGAATAGTAAATATTTAATAATAATAATAGTAATAATTAATAATAATAACAACACATTTGTGTATATAAGTAGGAGGAAAAAGAAAAAGAGAAGAGATAATAATAATAATAATAATAATAATAATAATAATAATAATTTAATAATTGAATAATAATAATAATAATAATAAGAAAAAGGGCACGCACAGCACAGGGAAGAAACAAAAGCGGAGCTTTGAGCTGCACAGGGAAGAAACAAAAGCGGAGCTTTGAGCTTAAAACATGCTGTGCGCAGGATTCAAAACTGAGACCTAAGCTTTAGCACTGTTCACGCGTCTCCATCTCTTCATTTGGAAAATGTGTATTTTCCTTTCTCCAAAATTGTATAGGAAGTGGAAGAATGGAGATGAGATTAAAATTGGAGATATAAAATTAGTAAACAAGTTTTCCATTTTTCATTTTTCCACTTCTCCAATTCTCCATTTTTCCAGAAAATTTTCCGTTTTTCCAATTTAGTAAACGACCCCCAAGACTCTTAACGAGATTGTTAGAGTCCGGTGCACAGCAGAAATAATAAACTATACGGTGTGTGTGTAGATTGTGTCAAGATTATTCTCGTGAGAAGCAAGCAAGAGCAGTATGTAAAGAAAGCAGTAAAGAACACAAGGCAATTTATAGTGGTTCGGAGGTGGTGTAATCCTCCTACTCCACTTGCTCTTATCGTCCAAGAGAAATTCACTATATCCACCAATTCTTGTTTCCAAGATACAATGAATTCCGTGATCTAGTGCTTTGATCACAAAGCCCACACTAATCACGCCCAGTGCCTCCAACACTGCTGCTTCGGGTTTCACGTCGCCGCGCTACTTTCCCAGGATTTCACGACTCCGCGTTACTTTCCCCCCGTCTTCTACGCTCCGGTAGAAACGCTTCTTCCGTGATCTAGTGCTTTGATCACAAAGCCCACACTAATCATGCCCAATGTCTTCCGACACTGCTGCTTCGGATCTCACAACTCCGTGTGACAATCCAGGATTTCACAACTCTGTGTTACTTTCCTCCTTCCCTTGTTTTGCTCTAAAACAAGTTTTGCCTTGCTTCCAACTTTGAGTCTCTGTAGATGATCTTCGATGATGCTCTTAGTCTCTTGTAGTTGATGAAGATTTTAACACTCTTGAATATTTCTTTTGTAAGCTCTGTATCACTCTGAGAGTTTATCTCACAAAGAATATATCAATTTAAGCTCTTGAGATGGAAAGCTTTCTTTGAAGTTCGTATGCTCTGTTTAGCTCTGTTCTTTTCGCTTCTTGCTATTTGCTTCTGCTTTCCACTGCTTCAATCTTCATCTTTTTATACCTGGTAATGAGAATCCGTCCGTTGGAAAGAAACGTTCTCATTTTTGAATTTCATCTAGCTGTATAGCCTTTTCAGAGGATAAGATAATGTTGCAGATATGTCAGAGATTCTCTGCAAGTTGAGCTTGAGGTTTTAGCAAAAATGGCTTCCCAAAAATCTTCACCTGGTGTAGATCACGCCTCTTGGGATTTCTATCTTCAAAATATAATCTCCAATTTAATCCCTTACTAGTTTAGACTAGTATTTTTGCTTCTGCAACTTCTTCTTGTATTTTCCTCTATACTTCACGTCTGGGTCTGTCTACTGCTTCCAGACTTCATCTTCAAAATTGACTTGGGAAATCTCTTCCCATGTAAACTTCATCCCTTACTATATTTGGAAGTGAAATCTCATCCCTTCCTTGATTTGTCAATTGAAATCTCATCCCTTACTTGATTTGGACTTGTAACTTCATCCCTTGAATTGAAGCCCTTTGTAAATCTCATCCCATTAAATTGAAACTCCTGCCCCTAGGGTGAGATACGTGAACTTCATTCATCCCTTACTATATTTGGAAGTGAAATCTCATCCCTTACTATATTTGGAAGTGAAATCACATCCCTTACTATATTTGGAAGTGAAATCTCATCCCTTCCTTGATTTGTCAATTGAAATCTCATCCCTTACTATATTTGGAAGTGAAATCTCATCCCTTACTATATTTGGAAGTGAAATCCCATCCCTTCCTTGATTTGTCAATTGAAATCTCATCCCTTACTATATTTGGAAGTGAAATCTCATCCCTTACTATATTTGGAAGTGAAATCTCATCCCTTACTATATTTGGAAGTGAAATCTCATCCCTTACTATATTTGGAAGTGAAATCTCATCCCTTCCTTGATTTGTCAATTGAAATCTCATCCCTTACTATATTTGGAAGTGAAATCTCATCCCTTTCTTGATTTGTCAATTGAAACCTCATCCTTTACTTCATCCGTTGAATTGAAGCCCTTTGCAAATCTCATCCCATCAAATTTAAACTTCTGCCCCAAGGTGAGATACTTCATCCCTTCAATTGGAATTGCATCCCAATTTCATCTTTAAGAACTTCATCCCTTCACTTTGGAAAATCTCATCCCATGCTTCCCTTCAGCCAAACCAACTTCTGCCCCAAGGTGAGATACTTCATCCCTTCAATTGGAATTGCATCCCAATTTCATCTTTAAGAACTTCATCCCTTCACTTTGGAAAATCTCATCCCATGCTTCCCTTCAGCCAAACCATCACCCATACTTCATCTGATGGATTTAAACTTGGCTTCTTTAAAATATGTGGGATGTGAGATTCAAACCTGTGACCTTGCATATAATATTTCAAGTTTCTACCAACTCATCCGTACAACCTATTAGTCATTATCTTGTTTCACTTGGTGTACTTCTTTCTTTATAGATGCTTGATCTTCAAGATAGCTTCATGCAAACTTCATGTCACGTTCTTTCTTCTTTGGGATTTCTTGAGGGATTTCTTCATTGATTTCTTGAGAGATTTCTTCTTAGGATGATAGTCTTCATAACTTCTTCATATGCATACATCTTCCTCTTTTGTTTGCCATTTTCTCTAGGCAAATTTTTGATTTTAGGCTTTATATCTTCTTCATCCATTTCCTCAACTAATGAATTTATTTTTCCCTTTCTTGGTCTATGACTCGACTAGTCTAACCAAAATAAAATTGGGGTTCTACGATTTACAATATAGCATATCAAAATCTATTACAATTTATTCCTAACAGCATGCAAGACACAACCCCCAAAATTCTAGGGGAAGTTGGGCTTGGAACCGAAGTGCTCTTGCAACATTGAGGATATGTTGGTGTTTTTGCTCAACCACAGCATTTTGTTGTGGAGTATTAACACACGACGTTTGATGAATAATGCCTTTATCCCCAAAGAACTCCTTCATATCAAACTCAAGGTCATTATCACTTCGCAAAACATTAATCAAGGCTCCGAATTGAGTAAATACAAAACTGTGGAACTGTTTTATTAACTCTTTGGCTTCTGATTTCATTTTCATCAAGTGCAGCCAGGTGAACCTTGAAAAATCATCCACTAAAGTCAGAAAATAATGCTCACCTCTTATAGAACTCACTGAGAAGGGACCCCATACGTCTGCGTGTATCATATCAAAACAAACAGTTGTGGATGATCAACTTATGGGAAAAGGGGAGCGTTTATACTTGGCTAAGTGGCATACATCACAAGCATTGTTTTTAAGAGACAACTTTGGTATATCTTTAAACAAATGCAATTTATTTATAGTAAAATGTCCTAAACGTTGATGCCAAATATCAACTTTATTACATTGCATAACCAATTTCCTGTGATCAAGAATGGAATTCAGTGGTGTCTTCATCATGAGGTACAACCCTTTTTCCTGTGTAGCTAAACCAACCGTCATCCCAAGAGGTTCCTGAATCAAGCACTGTCCAGACGTAAAAACCATATTATAGGAAGTATCTTGGAGAAGTTTGCTCATAGACAATATATTAAATTGGAATGATGGTATGTGAATAACATCTTTTAGCCAAAGATTGCTTTCAAGTCTTATGTTTCCTTTGTGTTTGATAGCAACCAGTTCCCCAGTAGGCAGGCTAACTTCATCCCTTTCAACCACATAATACTCATCAAATGTCTCAAGGGAACATGTAATGTGATTAGTGGCTCCAGAATCTACAATCCATGTTGAGTTACACAGAGATAGAGAATTAACAAAAGGGATAGATGACTTGCCTTCTATGTTGTCCTCATTGAACTTGGGAATTAGAGAAATAGATGCTGCAGTACCAGAACTAGAAGGTTGTCTCATCCGATTCTGAATGGCTGCCATAAGTTTTTGAAACTGATCACTTGTGACACCTAGGTCTGTCACATTATTCACCACAGAGGCTGTTCCATGCTGTTTGGCTTTGGATTCGAAGCCTGGCACCCACCCCGGGGGGTAGCCGTGCTTTTTGTAACACTTGTCAATAGTGTGTCCAATCATCTCGCAAAATGTGCATTTAGGTTTGCTTCCTCCATTGTTTGTGTACTTCTTACAATTGTAAGTGTTAATCACAGCAACCAAATCATCTGTGGAATTCTGAACCATCTCAGTAGCTTGGATCGAATTAGCATGGCTGATCTCAAGGTTGTTTATGTTTAACTTCGTCAAGCTGATATGCCTCTTTAATTTCTCAGCCATAACATATATTTTGTAGACTTCCGGTATTGGATCCAAAACAAGAACATTAGATTTCAAAGCATTGTAATCATCATTTAAACCTTGAAGGAAGCGAATCACCTAATCAACTTCGCGCTCCTTCCTGATCTCGTTGATTAGATCGCATCTACACCTTGGAACGCATTTGCATAGCGGGAGTGGCCACAAAGTGTTCATCTCCTCCCACATGGTCCGGCACTTCGTATAGTAATCGCTAATGGACTGAGATCCCTGCTTCAAGCTGTAGATATCGTTTTGTAATGCTGATATACGCTGAGCATCACACTGCGCGAAACGTCTCTTCAAGTTGTTCCAAACATCCCTGGAACTTTCTGTAACACCCCCGATTTTCATGCCAATTTAAAGCTTAATTATGCAAGGCAAACTAACCAATATATATAACATAAAGCATAAACACAGCGGAAGTCTAAACATAAAACCGAGAAAATCAAGGAGTGTTATGCCACGTTGACCCCAACGTGAATGCACAGGCAAAAACTAAACCATCAATCTAATATGTTCAACATCAGTGGCACTGTAACACCCCAATTTTCATATCCAAAATTTCCTTAAACTTTTTTTCTTAATTTAAAATTTACTAAACTCATAGCGGAAGCATTAACTAATCAAAAAGAAAATGGGTGTTACCGCCACACTTAGGCAACCAACAACCTAAGAGCTAAGGCTAAATTTACAACTTGCAATAAACAACTCAAGATATGTACTAGTACAAAAATAACTAAAAATTCAACTGTCTAACTAATAAATGATATCTCTAGGTGGTTCGCTCATTCTCATGCCCAATGCTCATGCAAAAGTTCCTGCAAAAACAATTAAAGAATAGAAAACAAAGAAACACACAAATTCAGCATTAAGCTTGTAAGATCTACTTCACCCCGTAAAATATTTTGCACATAGCATGTAACACATAGGAGCAAATAGTTTGCATCTAGAATGACCCCTTAAACATTTTTATTCTCATCAACAAACCAATAATCTTTAACTTTAACCATTTAAAATACATATTGAGGAAATCACACATCCAAATACAAAAATATCCATAACAACTTCTAGCAAAACGACTAAGGCATTGCCTATCCATAATCCAAAAATCATTCAACCATTATTCTTCCCCCAAGATTCCCATATAACCTTTATCAACATTTCCATACACCCATAACCTCAAAACATTTCATAACATCCTCATTACTCAATTCCTTAAATCATAATCATAATATAATCACCAAAATAATTTCCAATGATAACCAAATAGAGTTTCCAAACTCTCAAAATAATAACCAAAGCGAGAATTTCAATCTCTCAAAATGATATCAGAATATAGTACCAAAGAGAGAATTCCAACCTCTCAGTTTATCTCTTTCCAAGAGAACATCTTCCAACAACACATTTAAATTTCTCAAAGTCAATCACACTTGATATATATATATATATATATATATATATATATATATATATATATATATATATATATATATATATATATTGCCAAGAAGAAATGGGTAACAAATGGAGGATTTTCAAACTCTCAAAAATATATTTTCCATGAACACGGAGTTTTCTCGGCTCCCTAGTGAGTCAGCTTTTACATCACTGCTCACTCCTCAAAACAACAGGGAAGTTAATATAAATCCCCCTAGTGAGTCAGTACATCTCAACTGCTCACTCCACAAAACAGAGAGTTTTTAGGCTCCCTAGTGAGTCAGTATATTCCAATTGCTCACTCCAAAAAAACACCAGATGGCACCACTTTCCATTGACAATATATATATATATATATATATATATATATATATATATATATATATATATATATATATATATAACCTCAAAAATTCACTTCCTAAATCCAAATCTTTAGTCCCAAATATTACATTCAAGTTTACACCGGAATCTATAACCTTTGTACCAATATTTCCAAAAATGTATTTCCAACCATCCTATTAACCACATAGATATAGCACAGATTAGCGTATTCCACACCTAATTATTATGAACACAACTCTCCATATTTATAAAAATGATAACAGTAATGATATTTCACAAGAAAGCAACTTCTCAATATCTCAAATAAGAAACTGACAAAAATTTTCAGAAACTATGACCTGGATGGAAGAATTTACTGAGAAAGATCGGTAACACATTTTCACATGAAATTTTCTAGATAATAGGTACAGTGAGTCTAGATTATACAAAAAAAGTTTCAAGTCAATCCAAGGTGTAAAAGTATTTTTCCCGAAATATTTCCTAACACTGCGCCAGACAGAAATTGAACTGGCAGTACACTGCCTCAACTTTATGAAATTATTATGGAAATACCTAAACGTATTTTTAATCAAAACTTTTTAAAAAAATCAATTATATCAAGTCTAGATTCTCCAGAAAACTTTTCAAGCAAAAATAAGTTTAGTAAGCATTTTTCACGAATTATTCTTTCCAGATGCGCCAGTCAGAATTTTCTCAGGCAATGATCAAATTGTGTAAAATTTATCCTTCTAAATCACCACAAAATCACCATATCACATATGCAGGGTTTTCAAAACATCTAAACACATATATCTATTCGCATAATATAATCAAATAACTTTTCACGTTAAATATCACATATTCATTAAAATCATGAATCACATAGGAAAAGTGATTTTTTATTTGGGGCAAAAGAAATTTTAGTGAACATAAATCTTACCTAGATTCCAACATTAACATTAACACTTGAATCCCTACGGTGAACAATGTAGAGAATTTGATGATGATAGAGGAAAAAGACCAATCATGATTGAATCGATGACAAATAGGAATAAGTTTTTGTTTTTTTTGTTTTTCCTTCTATTCGGCGGTATTGTGTTAGGGATGACAAAGAGGAGAGGATTTAATGAATCAGCTACTGATGAGGATGGGAACAATTAGACTACTACTTAAATACTTAACTAATAACTTGTATTATAAATAATAATTCTAGTTTTAGGGAAATAAAATACTTAAAAGCTTAATATAATATTAATATACATATTAGCCTACTAGTACTTAACATGTATACATACGTAACATATATATAAATAAATAATTATTACCTATAATACACAGTTTAAAAATAAAAGAGTAGCAGTAGTAGACTAGTTTAAATAGTTTTGGGTCACATAAAATAATATAATTACAGACCGTATAGTAAAAATGTTTTACTTAACATAATATCTATTTTGTAAAATTTTATTTAGAATAATAATATTTATAACAAAATACCCTAATAACCGGGGTATCACAATCTACCCTCCTTAAAATGCTTTGTCCCCGAAGCATAACCATAGGAAAATACTGGGTATTACAGGCACACAGGCCAAAACATAAACTAAACTATTCAGGGGATCTAAACTATCCACGTCTAACGCTCTCGCCGTCTACTCGGGACCTGTAAAGCACATAAAGAAAGGGGACGATGCCCAGTCAGCGAATAATGCTAGTAACCCATCAATACGCGTCAATAGCATATATATATATATATATATATATATATATATATATATATATATATAGTTTAATACAAAATCGTTTTCGAAACAGAATACAGTATATATCAATTCAAAACCATAAAGAGAGAAGTCAACTGTAAAGACTCTATTTCACTCTCAAAGAACAGGGAATCACATCCCAAGACAACATCAAGACAATGACAACGATAGCACAACTCAACACCACTCAAGATATAATCTACTGATCACAAAGCAGAAAACATCAAGGCGAAGACAACAACAACATAAGTACAACTCGAGGTGTAATCTACTGATCACAAAGTAGATTACCACTCGACATGCTCATCGGAAGAGGATAGACATCCTCACATTGGCACTTCATGACAATGACACTTCATGTCACAAGATCATAGTTCCAAGTTCCAACCTTATGCCTTGATTCAACCTTATGCCTACCCCTGGCCTTATTACGGTTCCAACCTTTACCTCCGAGTGCCACCCTATACTTCCAAGTCCAACCTTTTGCCTCTGGGAACCGTCGTTCCCCCTCCAACAACCGCCAAACAAAACAGCCAAACGCACAGTACACGAGGGTACATTGCAAGATAATAACACAAAACCGCCAAACCTTGTGAGCTATACTCAGGATAACAAACCACCAAACTCAATTCATTGACACCACGAGGACCACATATGTACCTTGGTGATTAATGTCCCATACCATTAATCGTGCAATCCAGGTACAGCCAACACACACATCATCATAGGAATCAATCAATGGATCACAACAAAGATATGAAACCATACTCAATCAAGGAAGGATCACAATCCGACATCAACGATGATCAACACAAGTTATCATCCACAATAGGAAAGAACAAACCACACACTAGCATTTCAACATCAAACTAGCATGCTTATCAAACGGGTAAACCAAACATAGTTCCGAAGAACACACAAGACTCATCACGGTTCAATGAATCACAATGTTGAACACTTAGCACGATTCAAGACACCAAATCCTACATGGATTCCTAACATATCGTTCTGGACATACGAAACATCAAGAAGACACTCAAATAGCCCAACAAAAGAACATCGGGAAGTCAAAACATCAACTACCGAGTCAAAAGAATCACGAGGAACAAACCCTGTACCAAAATAATCCATTCGGGGATTTTCAACACCAAGTCCAAATTCAAGTCCAAAACACCCAAAATCTCACAAAACATAACAATATGACTTGAATCAAAGGAATAGCCAAGCAATGGCATACAAGAACCCAAAAAACAAGCTCAAGATATGCATTCTCACAAGACAATGCATCAAAACTCACATTTCATAGCAAAATCACATGTAGAAGTCAAGAAATCATCATATAGGTGAGAAAATAGATTTTGTAAAGCATGGGTTTCCTCTTGTAGCCTAAACCTTCACTTTCCACACCTTTACGAGCTTCTAACAAGGCTTTCCTTCAATTCCAACTTCAAGAACACA